TGCGGCTTACAATCGGAATAGCTACATTTAGGCCTTGCAAAGTTGCTGTGATCATGTTGGTCCCAAGGTATTAGACTGCATACAGAGTCTATAAGCAGGCTGGGAAGACTTTGATTTTTATTTTTTATCATTTTGATGGATAACAGCAATATTTATTTTTAAGCATTTTTTCTATGTTCCTCAATTTAAATTTGTACAGTTGCAGGAAATTAGGAGTTTTATGCATTTCCCCCCATTTTTATTGATTTTCATTGTTATAGAAAATTACTGAAGGGCTGCGCGTCAGACAGTAGAGAGTGTCACAGAATTTGACACTAAGGGTGTGTCTAGATTACAGGGTTTTGTAGACAAAACTATATCGGCGTCTACACTACCGCTGCGTTCTGACGACTGCAACTATATCAGCATCTACACTACCGCTGCGTTCTGACGCCTGCAATGCGACAGAACACGGCAGTTTTGTCGACAGCGGTAAAGCTTGTTTTATGAAGAACAACACCTTTTTTTGACAGAGTTCTGTCGAAAAAAGGCGCTATTGCATCCACACTATGCTTTTTCAAAAGAGAGCGTCTGCACTCTCTTTCAAAAAAGCGGCTTACTTTTTTGACAGAAGTGGTTGTAGTACAGACGCTCTTTTTCGACAGAGGCTTTGTCTACAGTATCTGTCGACAAAGCCTCTGTTGAAAAAAGCCTGTAGTCTAGACGTACCCTAAATGATGAGATTCTAAACACTGACGCTTTATACCTATTGAAGCACAAATTTTCAGCATCACATGTCAAAAATATGCAAAGTAAGTATCTTCATATCCAATTCTAAGTTCACAAGCAGCACTTTTCTTACTTCACCTACCTGCAGACTTAGATTATTATTGATTGAGACTTTTTTGGTGCGCATACAGTGAAATTGACATTCATCAACATGTACTGACAGAAAGAAATAGCCCTTGCAAGCCTAGACATATGCTGTCATAAAGAACTGGCTCCTGGAGTCAAACTTTGTTTCTCCAAATGAAGTTGGGGGCATAAAAGTAATGCAGATTGATGAGGTGTCACTCACAGAGATGCATTTGAAACACATTAGGGGATAGTGGGATCATAACCTCATTTCAGACCTTTCAGATTTAGACAAAGTGTAACTTATTGGTATCTCTAAGCAGTAAATACTAGAGTCAATCACCAGTTAAATATAACATTGAAAACTGTTTAGAGCTAATGCTCTTAATGAAATATTTCAGAGTCTCCCAAGAGCTAGGGTTCTCCATAGTATTGCATTCCTAGTACACAGGCTTCTCAAGGCTCCTTAGTTTTCAATACAAATCATAGACACGAGGGTGCACAGACTGTAGGATAAAAGTCTTAGAAGATCACAGCACTTCCCAGGTAATCGTAAGTCACTTGGCCTGTGAGCTTTTTAACATCTCAGACCTGAGGGGAGGCTACATGAAGGTGAAAACTTAGGGAGGCAGTAGGCACAGTCCTCCTCTTTGTGGTAGCAAGGCACTCACTTCCACTCACAGGCAGGAGGAGTACTCGCATTAATCCAGGGTGGGGCTCCCAGATTCTCTCTGCCCTGCTTGTTGCCTTTACTTTGCATTTAAATACACACCACAGCGCCTGGGCTGCTATTCCAACCAGCAAGCAGAGTTTCCATAGCTACATTGGGGCACTGGGTATCTCAGAAGTAAGGTCAGCCCAACAGAGCTCTGTCCCAGACTCAAGGCTCCTGCTTCAAAACCACCTCCCTCATCCTGGGGCAATATGTGTCGAGTAGCAGGAAACAGCTATCCCGTAACAGTGCTCTCACTTCAATGGCACCTTCCCTTTTACAGTGCAGGAGAGTAACTGTGCTAGGGATACTTGCAAAGCCACATATCTTCTTGATCCCGGACGCAGCAGAGAAAACAGTCCTTGATGGCAAGGGCACTGTCTCGGGAGAGCAGGGGTGAGGAGGCAGGAGCCGTGCTTGCTTTTCTACCCATTCCTCTGACGATAAGGGAGTGAGGGGAAAGTACTTGGATTCCATGAATTACTCCTCTGCTCCCCACCCCACCCCAGCCAGGAGAGGCATGCATGGAATTCAAGTACTTTCCCCTTATCGTCAGAGGGACAGGAAGAAATGCAAGCCGCATCCCGGTATGCACAGCTGCTATCCCCCATGCTCTCCTGAAACAGTGCCCTTGCTTAATGACTGTATTTACTCCCCCTACCACAATCAGAACATCCTGCATGTGGGGGCCAGTCTTCTAGTGAGGAGGACTCTTTGAAGAAACAATGAACCTAGCCCCAAGTCCTGGCTGGTGGGGATTTCAACAGCAGCAATCTCAGCTGGGTTGTAAATGTAGGGGTTAAGAGATTGGGACCTGAACCCTAATCCTCTCCCAAATATCTTGTCACTTCTAGACCATGCGGGCCCAGACCCAAATTTAATTTTCTTCACAGCTGAATGTCACTAGTAAAAAAACTCCCAAGAACTATTAAAGGCAAAAGAGAAATAGGGTGCCTGACCTATCAATTATCGGCCCGTGCCTCACATGTACTCTACCAGTGTTACAAGACAACCTTTTTTGGAGGCACTATTGGAGGCCATTGCCCCATGAGAAGTCATCTCCCTGTACAAAAGGAAGGGGTGTTGTTTCACTTCATGTGCAGTTCTGTTTTAGTTCCAGTGAGGAGAGGTGAACTCATTGTGACAAATTTCAAGCCTAGCTGAAAATTGAGGGTTCTAGATTTGGACTTTGGAGGTTCCAAGCTCTCATCGTTACTGGTACCTGCTAGCTTTACAACCCACAACACACTGACTTGCAAATAAAGATTATGTTTGCTAAGTACAGGCCTCTATCTTCATTGAAAAATCATAGTGCAAGTCAGGCATGAAAAAGTTTGACAAGACAGTATTACATTTTCAAAACTTCACCCAACTATTCTGAGTCTGAGCAACCTTACCTTTTAATTCTCTGGCTTTGGTGTCCAACACTCTCTTTTCTAGTTCTGATTCACTAGGGATTCCTTCATCTTCATCTTTGTCCCTGCATGAGACACACGCCTCAATTACTACCACAAATGAGTATGAAAAAAACACCTAACCCACACAAATAGTACCTTAACTTACATGGTGTTAATTGTGTCTTGAATTATTTGTATCCAGCTATTACGCTCGATTTCTACCATCTCTGGATCTTTCACTACTGTGGTGATGAGGAATAAACCCTTCTCCTCATGGGCCACTTCTCGTACTATCAGTTTCTTCAGAGAGATTACAGTGGATCTCTGGTCCTTCAGATGAGAAGAGATTGGAGAAAGAACAGACAAAATGATCCAGTGCTTAAAGATGGCAATAAGAAGTTCAAAAGCTTCTAATACCTGCAGTCACAACTCTTTCCAAACTTGGGAGCGCTGTCAGCAACTACAGGCTAAAAAGTAGTGCTAGCCTCACCCAACATGTATTTTCTGAGAATAATTTATTTCACTGTGCCCAGAATGCTGGTGTCACCTTCCACTGTAAATTCAGGAAAAACTGCCTTTAGCTGTCCCTAAATACAATTCAAAATTGCCTTTGTGGTTTTCTTGACTGTCCACTGATCTCACATCCTGCTGTTTATGCTGCCTGTTCCTGGACTCCTTATCTTCTCAGTATGGCTTGCTGGTCCCTGTTTCACTGGCATTGCCTTTGCTTTCCCTCCCTGGGAATCCTTGAATCACATCCTCTCCTCAGTTCCCACCAAAATCCTTCCTGTTCACTGTAGCTTAAAGCTGACTCCTGCTACAAAGGTTTGCTGAGACTGTGCATCAAGGATTCCACGGAGGATTACATGTAGTGTGCTGTTAGAGCCCTTATAATATCTCTCTGTAATCTTTCCTGTAGCTTTAAAAGCTTTTCTTCCCACCTGCGGCATGCATAGTTCAATAGGCTCATGTGTAGACGTCACAGAATCACAGGGTTTGGTTTCTGTACTTTTTTTTGGGGGGGGGGGGGAGAGCGGGAGTGCTTCAGCAGAGGTTTGCCAACATGACCAGTATGTGTGCCACCGCCAGCTGAAGGAGGAGGGAAAGACTTTCACTGGCAGCAGGGGGGCTGGAAACAAGACTAACAGAGAAAGTCTCCTTCCCGAAGCATGCATGAAAGATGCATCCCTGCCAGGCTTGTGGCTATTAACTGGTTTGGGGACACTGGCTTTATTTTTTTTCCAACAGGTCAGCAAGTCTTAGTGACTATCGCTTTCATCTAGAACATGCTCCGAAAGCTCCTATTTGTGTTTACACTAACTGGCTCATGACAAACATGCTTCTGTAGCAGGGATGTAAAATCCCAATTTACCAGTTAACTGGTTAAACATTATGTTTAACCGGCAACTGCTTAAACGAGGGGGGGGCCTGCTCCCTCCTGCCTGCTGTGGCTGGGCTGGAGTGGCCCCCCTGCCCACAGGTAGGGTCTGTTCCGTCCAAGGTGGAGTGCCCTCCTGCCCACAGCAAGCCTCACTGGACTGGAGCAGTCCCCTGCCCACAGTGGGCAAGGGACTGCTCCAGCCCCTGCTGGTTCACCGTAACCAGTAAGCATCACCTAACGAGAGTGATGCTCACCGGTTAACCATTTGCATCCCTATTCTATAGCATACTGCATTATGAGCTCTTCGAACTTTATTGCAGCAGGAGGCTTTTGTTCCTCTGCTTTTTAGATTGATATATTAGGTCTGTTCTTTCTGCTGGAATTCATTTGTACACAGTTCACGTTTTTCCCTCCTAAGCGAGCAGGATTTGCAGAGGCTGATGAAAAATAAATGTATCCAATGACAGGCTTATTTTCAGAGCCAATTACCAAATGTTCCAAATCACTGTAGAAATAGCAAGTCGGGAGGAGGATATAAGACATGTTTCCAATAGAAAATAATGGAGTCTGCTGCAGAAACAAAACTGTTACATGCAAAGTGATCTGTCCAATAAAAACGAAGGAATGTGGCAGGCAGTGACATGCTTTCATTGCTAAATTCACACCAAGGATTGCATATGTAAAAGAAAGGAAGAGAAAACACCAAAGCCTTACCAGTGATGCAAAGACATACTTCTGGTCCTTCTCCTGAAGGAATACCAGCGTGTCTGAGAGGAGGACAGCCAGGACCTCTATAACAGAGAAAAAACACCTAGGTTTTACATCAAATATATGTCTATGTCAATCACTGCTTTCAGTACCTTTTATTTAACAATGAGCTCCAGGTGAGCATCAGAGAAATGTCTATGTCAATCACTGCTTTCAGTACTTATCAATACCTTTTATTTACAAATGAGCTCCAGGTGAGCATCAGAGGGATATTCAGGCTACTGAGGAACCTGCTGGGCTGCTGGCTGGGAGCTGCCCAGGTGAGCACTTCCAGGTTCTTCCCCATCCTGCACCCTTACCCCATGTAACCCAAACCCTCTGCACTCTCGCTCCTGCACCCATACTCTCTCCCAGGTCACAACCCCCTCCCATACCTTGCACCCAAATCCCCTAGGCCCAGTCACAAGCCACATCTCTGCATCCCCTCCTACCCCCCGGACACAACCCCTCCTAGATCCTGCACTTCTCCTACAGATCAGAATCCTCTCCTGCACCCATACCCCCACCCAAACCCTGCACCCCCTTCTGCACTCCTATCTCTTTCCCCCAGTCACAATCCCTTCTTTCACCTAAACTACCTCCCAGATTCCTCCTCCCAGATTCCCCCACCTGTACCTCAATCCCTTAACCCAAGGTCCTTTCTGCACTCAACTTCCATCATAGACCCTGCACCTCCTCCATTAATATAATGGAAGAGGGTGGCCCTTGCTTACCAAAGTCTTGGAATGCCCCCCTATCAAAATTATTGCCCACCAGGTTAACCAGTGACATCCCTAATATACATATAGGCATCTTGCCCACCAGGTTAACCAGTGACATCCCTAATATACATGTAGGCATCTCTGCCAAATTAAAGTTTCCACTTCATGCACCTGATGAAGTGCGCTCCAGCCCTCAAAAGCTTATGCTGAAATAAAATGGTTCGTTTTTAAGGTGCCATAGTATTCTTCATACCTCAATAGCGACTCCTCCAGGCAAAGTAAAATCAGCTCTTAAAGGAGTCAGATGGGCTCATATCTAGACCCTCTGCTGGAATGTTCTTATCCAAACTACAAGCCCTCTAAAAGTCATGGAAGACTGGGGAAGTGGAAGCAATGAATGTTGGCTGAACATACACCCTATTCATTCTCACAATATTTCTATCCTCAGGCAAAATATCAGATTGGTTTTATTGCTCTCCTCTCATGAGTGGTGCAATTTATCTTGTAACAACATTTGTCAGCTGCAATTTCTTCCCCAGGCATTTTAACTGCAACAGCTGATGTTGATTCTGCCCACAGATGTATATGGCTCTCTCCAAATTCCCGGGGAAACCAAATGGGTGTGCTTCAGAGGGGAGACGGACTCAAGTAGAAGAAAAGAAAGAAATGCAAAGAAGATGAATATAGAGAATTCTGAATCAGAGCAGGGATATTCCCCCAAAATACACATGCCACCTTCCAAGTTGCCTCATGATATATCACAAGGTTCTTCGTAAGTAATCAGCGAGATGCCCCACCCAAGCCCCACTGCACAATGAGTTTCTGTGTATATACTACGAGGCCTCATGACTTGCAGATGAGGTAAACTCAAAAGTTAACTGATCCCCTGTGTAATTCCTTCCATTCGTTTTGGAGGAACAAAATCCCTTTCAGATCAAATACGAACCAAGCTTTTGCCATAGCCTCAAACCAAATTCAAACCGCGTTTGAGGTTTGTAAAATGTCCTGGTGAGATTTATTTTACTTTGGCTTGTTTTTGTTTCCAACAGCAACTTCTGCTTTTGGAGCAAAGGAGGAAAGACCAAAATACTTCAAGGAAAGCTATTCCTGTGTTACTCCTGGCTCCAGTTCCAAATCTCAGAAGTTAGGAAAAGCAGGTTCTAAATTTTTGGATGGTTTCCCATCTGGAAATTCTGACTCATCTTTACTGTAGCGTTCTAGCTATGGGCTCCAGTCGTGGGACCCATTATTTCTCTAGGAAATGCAGAATATAACCTATACTAACAGAGAGATTCCCATGATAGTGCAACCCACCTGCCTAACAGGGAGCTAAATCTTTAAGGACAGGTCTACACTAGAGCTGTCAGCTCTGCTTAAGGTACTCAACCCCAGCTATGCAAAATATGTAGATGGAGTCAGCTTACCTTAAGCTGAGCCTTAGTGATGTCCACACTGCAGGAAGCTGATAGAAGCAAATGCCCCCATCGGCTTCCCTGACTCTTTGAAAAGGAGGCGTACCAGAAGTTGGTGGGAGCTGCCTCAGTGTTTGATTTACAGGTCTATACTAGACCTGCTAAATCAAATGCCAGAAGGTAGACCTCTAGAGCGTGAATCTTCCAGTAAGTTTAGATGTGCCCTAAGACATCTATTGGGGGTTGGTAGGAATGAGTTGCCTCTGGGTCACCGCTGCTAAGCAGATGCACAATTAGCTGCTCTCCAGATTCAGAAGTTTCTGGAATTGGATGTGGTGGTTTTGAGTTTGCTCAATAGGTTTCCTGATGCTGGATTTGGCTTTTTGCAAAGCAGCTACCCTGACTACATGCCCTCATAAAGCCCACGTGTACTGTGTAGGTTGAGAAGCTGAGCCCCATGAGCAGAAAGCAGGCTGTTTTTTCTCACTCTGAAACATCTTGCAAAAGATTGGTGGCATTGTTCGCCCATCAGGGAAGCTCTGGCAGCATTAAATATAGAGGGAGGAAAATGGGAGGGAAACTGTATACTCGGAATGCTGTTTAAACTAAAACAGTTTGGCTAAAATTAAACTGTATCAAAACAGTATGATTCACCAACTTTTATTTAAATGTGATGAGGAAAGAGTTATTTATATTTACTAAACTCTGGACACGTATATACTACGCAGAAGATCAATTCTGCTGCAGTCAGTCTTCTGGGGTTCGATTTAGCAGGTCTAATAAAGACCTGCTAAATCGAACTCAGAGGGTGCCCCCATTGGCACTGGTATTCCTGCTCCTCACAAGGAGTAAGGGAAGCCAATGGGAGCATTTGCTGCTATCAGCCTCCTGCTGTGTGAATGGTGCAGAAACACGATGTAAGAAATGACGACTCCAGCTACGTCATTTACATAGCTGGAGTTAAATATCTTACTTGGATCTTCCGATGTAGTATAGACCAGGCCTCGGTTTTGTGTTATCTTGTAACAGGATTTTTTTAAAAATCTATAAACAGAACTGATTGGTGAATTGGTTAGCTGACTAGGAGAGGGATTTCGGCAGAGGAGGAGGAACAGCAGACAAGTCTGCCTAGCTAGCTTCTGAAGATAATAGTATGCAGCTTGGAGAGTCAGTAAGTTTGGCCCACCCATTGACCATAATGTGCGTGTTACAGAGAATATAGCACTTGCAGGGACTTCAGGGAAACAGACAAGGCAATAATGGTTTGGAGTAGTGGCCTCAGAAATCTCAGAGCAAAAGACTGCGGACAACCAATGTGAAGACTTACTTCAGTGTAATAGACAATGCAATGCTGGGTCTGCTTAGCAACTCCAGGGAACTTTCAAGTCATAGAAACATAGTGCTGCTACTAGGCAGCAAAACCGGGAAGTGCAATGGCTGCAATTCAGAGTGTGTATTTCACAGAGTCTATGGATGTGTATAAAACCACAGTGTACAAACATGAATCCCAGATCTCTGTGTTCATTCACATGGCCAAGCGATTCAGATGGCTAATCAGATTTCTGAGTTAGCTATGGTGCCACCCCTCTGCAAACCCTCAGTGCACGCCCACCGACAGGTGTGTGAGGGCAAAAGGGGCAGTTGCCCTGGGGCCTGGTGATTCAAAAGGGCCCGGGGCTTCTGGTAATTCCTACCACTACTGCAGGAGCAATGGCACCTGGAGCCCCGGTCCTTTAAATCACCACCAGAGTGCAGCAGATCCCTCTCCAGGCTGCTCTCAAGGCTGGCTGGGGACAGTGCAGCACGCTCCAGGTAGCGTTGAGGACCGGTTGCACCACATCTGCCCCTTCTGTCCTAGGCCCCACCCCTTCCAGGAGTAGGGAGCTCCCCCAAAGGGCCTGGCAAGTCTGTAGGCCCCCCCTACCTCAGTGTACAACTGTGGATCACTGTTCACACCAGCAATAGCACTATCGTGTTCTGCTGCTTTCTTCATTTTACTCTTCATGGCCAATTATTTTCGTCTGGATCCCAAGTCTCCTGAGAAGGTGCCCATTGGAAAAATGGGGTTGGCTCTATCATGAGTTGAGGAGTCAGTGGAGCCCAGAAGACAGTGAGCAAGGTTTCCCTTCCCTGGGGGGTAGGGGGAATTCACCATCAAACCCTGACTCAGCTCGCTGGGCAAAGTCTGGAAGGTAAGTAAGCAAGCAGAGTCATGGTGAGCAGTAAGGGAATATGAGAAATATTTGTGGCAATAACCTATGGTGTTATTAGGTGCACAGGTTTTCATGATTTTTACTTTGACTGCTCCTTTCCCAAAACAGAAAAATCAATGACATAATATGAATAATACATGGGCCAGCCTTTTCAGAAGAAACTCCATGTGAGGGGCAGAGCAACACCAAGCCACAGTAAAGAGAATGAGGTTGCAGGTCCATGATGGATGAGCCTGGCATCATCCAGAGACAGAGGGTACATCTTTTAGGTGCATGGTCTGTTGGATTTGCTCACCTTTCAGTCTCCCAGCTGTGTTTTTCAGTGACACAGGCCCATCTCGGATGAGTTTCCTTCGTCTCAAGTCCTCTCTGGCAAACATCTGTCCACTCTTCATCCTCATGATGGACTTGCTGTCCGTCCGCGTATAAATCTCAGAAAGGCGTGTTTTCTTTTCATAGTTGCTGACCTTGCTATTGACCGCAGCAATCACGTCTTTCACCAGGTTTAGTGACTGGGTCAAGTCTTGATGTTCCACTTCATTTTCTTAAGGAGTGAGAAAGAGATTTCAGTTGCAGCGCAAGCGCACCCTTTATTTGTGAATATGCAGAGCCTAAAGTTTTACGTCTCCCCTTTCCAGTCCTGCAAGTGGGGCCGGGATGCCATCCCGGAAAGACATTTATAGCCAGGACGGTGAACTGCCTGACGGCCATCCCCACTGACTACCGCGTTTTTGTGAACAGGCCTGGGAGCCCTACGGTAGCTACAGGAGCTGTTGGGAAAGGAGAACTGCCAGCCCTGCTGCCCCAGCCCAGTACACGCAGGCATGGTAGCTCCGTGGAGGGGCAGGGGCCATGGCCGGAAGCTCTGCTCCTTTCCCTGCAGAGAAGGGCAGTGAGAAAAGGAGCAGAATTCCCAGCCCCGCCCCCAGCATGTGTGTGTGGCAGGTTGGGGCTCCTGGCGGTTCTGCTCCTTTCCCTAATGGGGGGAGGGCGGAAATGGAGAAACGTGCAGAACTTCGCCCTCCCTCCCCAGCCCTGTACACAGATGGGACAGCTCGCTGGAGGGCTAGGGAATGGGGCTGGCAGTTCTGCTTTCCCTGCTAGGAGCCGCAGTGGGGTACCGGTAAGATATTTTGTGTACTTGCACCACTGCCTCTTTGCCTTACCACTGAGTCATCAAACACGACCGCATGCTGATGCACTAACGCTAAATACCTTCCTACGACAAGTTTCATTTAGAAGAAATGAAGTTTGTCACAAGCTTTAAATACACACCTATAGATTAAAGGGGAACCAAAGGAAATCCACTCTGCACAAGCTATAGTAGGGTAAATAAGGACCACATTTTCAGCTTCTGCAAGTGCATGTCTACCTGACTGCATGTAAAAAAAAAATTGGAATGCATCCATCTGGCATGTGTCCACAGCTGTTTATATGGGCAAATCAGGTACAGCCATTTTTGAATACCAGACTCAATAAGGAACAATCAGTGAAGTTGCAATGAACATTTTAAGAGTCTGGATTAATGGTCCACCCTGGTAGTGGCAAAATTCCCATCTGCTTGGCTCCTGATGAAGTGACACATTTGTGAAATTGTCAGATCCAGAAGCCTTCAGTCACACGTCTCTAAACCACGCTAATGGGACAGACAACTATGTATGAGGACCATAATGGCCAACAAGATAGTCCCCTGTGAACTTTTTACTTTGTAAAAAAATTTAAAAAAAGGGAAAACTTAAAAAAAAAAGGTATGAATTACAGGACTTGATGATGATAAAGACACAGTGGATGGTCTCTGTCATTCCTTGGCTAATCTGGAATGTCAGCTGTTGTATCTTTAGGATTCACATCTGCTGATAAACTGAAACAGAAACCTCTACATCACTCTCCAGAGGTTTTCGTGGGTGAAATCATAAAGAAACTACTGGTCGAGCTTACGATATCTTAAATGGGATGACACAGATAAACCATTCCTCATCCTCACCTAATAAAGGGCTTCCACAGAGATTAAACATAGTGCACTATAGCAGAAAGCAGGCTAGATTAAACTGTAAACTGAGCCTTTTTGCTCTCTAAGTGAGAGACTGAGAGAAACCAGGAGCACAGCTGACATATCCTATGCAAGCCCTTCTCACGTGTTTCTTCAATTCCTAACTTCTGATCCCTTCTGGCGCTAAGATTCTGTGGCCACTCCTGATGGGTTAATCGTGCAGGCTCAGAAAGGTGTTTATGTGACACAGAGAAATAAGCCAGAGAGTTGATTGAAGACCTATCACCTCCAACCACTTAATCATAAATCACCTATGAAGAGCATATTCAAAGCCAAGCTCTCTGAATACCGTATGTAAAGTATGGTAATGTAGGATTCCTGGGATGGAAGAAAGGTTCAAAGGAAGAACGTGAATCTTCTTGGAGCTCTGAGAATCTTATTTTTCCTTATTTTGCAATACCCTTTCCCCTAGGCTTGGTATTGCAGTCATGAGCCAAAGTGGACAAAGTAGAGACTTTGGAGTCTGTGCATGTTGCTCCATAACTAGCTAGAGATTGCTGAAGTGATGAGACGTCACTTGGTGTGTCACTTCTACAGGGGCTACGTGCTGTATCTTTGCAGCACCCTCAAGCCTATGCAGCTTGAGGATGGAAACCCTGAAAGAAGGTATGAAACCCAGGTCCCTACTTATGGCAGTGGTGGCTTTAAGAACTGGGTTGGCTGGCTGGTTCTGAGTTGGGCTGTTTAAAGTCCCGGAGAAAGATACAGAGGAAACAAACATGCTTAGGAAAAGGAACAGGCACTACCTTTGGTATACTGTAAGATTCTTTGCAATAGCACGGGATATTTGGTGATCCTTTGAGTTACTAGTAAGATGCACTCAGGAATCCCCAGGCGCCTCACCACTGCACTGCTCATTTTTTTCTTAAAAAAAAAAGACAAGACATAAGTTAAAATGCTGCCAATGAAGCGCTCTCTGAGACATGCCAATGTATAGCAACAAGTCCTCCACCAATTCCAACCTTGATGAATGCCTGAAACCGCTTCTCTTTTGACTGCAGGTCTTTGAAATAATTTACAGCCTCGTTGTGGTGCCCACAGAATTTGCCGTAAGTTTTCTTCATTCGCTCCCCGTTCTCACCGGAAAACTGCAAGACATGAACAAGCTCATAAGCCCCCGCTGAGTGTTTAGAATCAATCACTTTTGGGATCACCCACCATCAGACACTGAAAAGGACGCAACACAGTCAGTTCAAACGTTGCCCAAAAGGTAGCTTTCAAAAAATGTGAAGCTATGGAATTTTAAGGATGGAGACTAGGCATTGTACAGGGTGAGACACCCTTCCACAAAGAGCTTGGAGCCACAGAGGTGTAAAGTGGCTTCCCCAGGTCACAGAGCAGCAAAGCCAGGATACAGAATCCAGATTCCCTGTTTTCCTGCTCAGTGTTCTACCTTACAGGTCATACTGTAACCAGTGCTGATACTTTTCTGCCCATGCAGCATAAAAAACCAAAACTGACATCAAACCTTCTACCTGAAAATCTTAAAGTACTGTACAAAGATGGACAGCCATCTCTAAGGCACAAAGAATATATCTATGCAGGGAAGAAATACTTGTGGATGGTCCCATGCCATCCAACTGGCTTGTGGTACTGTCTCATTGCCGTGTTGATTTCTGGGCTTGGGCAGGAGTACAAATTCTGCCCCCCCCCCCCACACTTTCCCCACAGTATCCTAGAACCTGGATTTGGGCTGGAGCCCAGAAGTCTACACGGCAATGAAACAACCCCGCAGCCTGAGCCTCATGAGTTGGAGTCAGCTGGCACAGGCCAGACATGGGTGATGCATCTCACTTTAGGTCACCAATAGGATAGTGTAAGAGCAGGTCTGCACTACAGAATGACTTCAGTAGAAATAACTATGTCTCTCAGGGGTGTGAAAAATCCATACCCCAGAACAGTGTAGTTAGATTGACGTAAGCACTGATGCAGAAAGCATTATGTCAGTGGGAGAGCATCTCCTACTAGTGCAGCTATCGCCTCTTTGCTCTGGTGAATTAACATAGAGCATCTTCGTTAAAGCAGCACACCTGCACCAATGCAGCATTTTAAGTGTAGACTGGCCCTAGGAGAGGTCATTGCAATTCAGGAGTCCCTGGCTTGCAGTCTTGTGCTCAGAACATACCACTCACCTGATTCACCAAGATGTCTCCTATCCGTCTGATAACAAAGTTCTTCTCACTCTTGTTCACCAGGGACTCTTTCTTCCTCTCCAGAATCCGCTGGTAGAACTGGCTGTGGATGTTCAGCAAGTCATCCAGGCAAGGAAAGACCTTTTCCACCATTTGCTGTTCGAACTGCAGTTCCTGCATCATCCCCCTGCTGTATACATCACTCATGATCTTCAGAGTGCGGACGTGATGCATTTCTGTCTGCATCAACTCTGTATGAGACAAGGACAGATCCAACTCAGGAAGCATATGGTTCATTATTACTATCCTCCAGGACAGAGCACTGTATCAACCCAGAGTACTCGGCATTGCTAAGCCAAGGACAGGCACTCAACAAATCTAGTTAGCAGGGCTCATAGGAGCTAACTTAGACCACGTCTCCTCTTGCTGCTCCAGAGACTGATCTTCAGGCAATCGATTTAGCGGGTCTAGTGAAGACCCACCAAAATGAATGCTGAAGGCACCACCATTCGGTGTCACTACGCCTCCCAGTTGTGAGGAGTTAGGGAAGCGGATGGAAGCATTTGCTCCTGTCGACCTCCCACTGTGAAGATGGCGCCAAGCTCAGCTTAAGATATGTTGACTTCAGTTACGTTATTTACATAGATGGAGCTATGTACCTTAATCTGACCTATATTAGACCTGGCCTTAAAGTAATGAATTACTGTGGGCTTGTAATTCCCCATTCTGACGTACGTGTGTGTGTGTGTGTTATGTGCACTAATGTCACTGGGATATATCCACCATTTTGAGCTCCCTAATACCATGTGCACTGGTTTCATTCTTTTCTTACCTCTTCATAGTTAGTAGTTTGGTTATCAATGGGAAAACAATTTATTTCTTTTCAAAGTACGTGTTAGGGCACGGCCTGGGGGTGGCTCATCCTCCCCATACTGTTGTTTCGGCCTGCTGTTACTGCGAGAATACTGGTCTCTAAATTGTGGCGCTTGCTCGCTAACAAGGTGTGGAATGTTAGGGAGGAGGCGAAGTGGTTCCTGGGTCAGCCCCATGGGGGGGTGGGAATGGGTGAATGCTATCCCATCCTGCTCCGGCCCCAGTTCCAGCTGCAGCCCTACTCTTAGCTCCAGCCCTGGCGTTGGCCCAGCCACAACTCCACTCAACTTGGCTGTGGCTCTGCTCACAACCACACACCTGACCCCAGCCTCAGCACCTCCCAATGGCAGGTGTGTAGGGTGAAGGGGGGCAGAAGTATGTGTGAGGTAAAACATTTGCAGACCAACATGCTGGAGTCTGAGGCTATGTCTACACTTGCGGCTTCTTGCGCAAGAACATCTTGTGCAAGTGTTCTTGTGCAAGAACTCTTGCGTAAGAAAACGTCCACACTGCCATGTGTATGCTGTGCTTTTGCGCAAGAGCACCCATGGCAGTGTGGACGCTTTCTTGCGCAAGAAAGCTCTGATGGCCATTTTAGCCATAGGGATTTCTTGTGCAAGAAATCCCTGCTGAGCATCCACATTGCCCTCTTGCGCAAGAGCTCCTGCGCAAGAGGGCTTACACCTGTCAAAAAAGAGCATAGCTCTTACACAAGGAGCCCCCTCTTACCACACCGCACTGTAAATTTACTTGCGCAAGAGCAGGCGGGCAGTGTGGATGCTCTGCAGATTCTTGCGCAAGAACAGCTGTACTTGTGCAAGAAGCCGCGAATGTAGACATAGCCTTAGTGTAGGAGGACAGATACCAATACCAAAACACTATGCTGCTCCTTCTCAATGTGGTGATTTTGTGTAGCACAAGAGACCTCTTGTATCAAGGGGCAGAAGATGCGAATACAAGTAATTTACACTGTACTCATGGATAGCTGCATATAAACATCATCACGAGACAAAACAGGAGAGACAGTTTTTTTTAAATGGTGTACGGTTAAGTGAAATCCAGGATTCCAAAGATTACTATGATGGCAGCGGAGGTCTTCAATTCCAGCAAACACTAAGAGTGAAATTCTGGCCTCAGTGAAGTCAGTGACAAGCTATTTTTGAACAAGTTTCCAAATTAGTCACCAACAAAATAGATGAACAGACAGACCATCCAAAGCTAGAGGTTTCTAGAAATGAAACTGGATCACTTTAACCAAAAAACATCTCACCATATAGGACATCCTGCCGTTTGACAACATTTTCCTTTTGCTGCTGCAAAAACTTGCTGTCTACTACTTGACTCCAGGATTCTGCCTCCAGCTGCTTGGAGTCCATCTCAAAGTCCCCCATGAGCTGTCCTTCATTCATATCTGCACCTGCATAAAAGCAGCGTAAACAAATATCTGTTCCCATTTGAAATTCCCATTGCTATTCTACACATTTGGGCTTTGTTCTGAATGTCCCAAACATCATATCTGCTTTCTTTTATTGACATGGACGTGATTGTATGGAATTTTTATGGGTTAAGTACCAAACGATGCAAGCTTTTATAGGTTATTTACTAGTTGCACTAAAGTCCAAAATTACCATGTAATCTGAACTCTGGCTTACAAGACAAGCAAGAACATGGTAACAGTATGGTAATTAATATGCAATTTGTTCTTCTTTGTTTACTTCAATAAATTAACAGAAATGTTACATAGAGCTTTGCAAAAACTATTTTCAAGTTTAGAAAACAATAGCTTGACATGCCTGGAACTGAAGATTATGTATAGCAGCAGCACTTTTTAGGCAGAAATTGTTCATTTGTTGCCTCTACCCAACATGTGAAAATTCATGGCTGTTGGGAAATTTCTCTCTCGCCATGTTCCCTATTCAGTTCCTAATGCATTAAAATCATTTTCTACTTTTCAGGTCAGTGTCGGCTAAGATACAAAATGTTTAAGGAATATATTTATCTCAGAGCACCCCTTGATTAAAAAATAACATTGCTGTACCTGCAATTGTGAATTTAACCAAAACATTAAAAAATATCTTGAACCTGCCAATATCGAAAAAGTAAAATGTATAGGGATGTGCAGATGAACAAATAGATTAAAAAATAGACAAAGGATCAAAGACGGGGAGGAAGAGTGTACCTCTGAGCTTTAAACACAGCCCACATAACTCAAATGTAAATGAAACCCTTCATGCATTTTCTCTTACTCAAAATATGCTAAAATGCTCTAGCCTATAAAGAAATAGGGCCCTTGCTTTCTTGTCTTTCTTTATACTTTCTCTTATCTAAATAAGCTGAAATTCTCCAGTAAAGAAAACAAATCTGATGTCAAAACACTTTTAAAGGATTTAGTGTTTCTAAAAATCAATGTTGAGACCATCCATTTGCTGGGGATGTTTCTGTGTTTGTACAAATACATTGGGATCTCTTACCCTCATCAGTTAGCGACTCCGTGGATTCATTCACCCGGCTGATTTTATGTAAAGAGTCAGTTGACTGTGAGAGGAATTTCCAAGTATGTATTATATTTTCATCGACAACTCTGCAGAAAAAAGGAAATGCTGAACCCTACTCAAGACTCCAACACTCAAACCAATCACTTTCTCAAATACACATAACAAATACAGGTTGGACCTCCTTGGTCTGGCTCCCTCGGGATCTGAGTGGCCCCAAAAGAGGGAGATTGCCAGACCAGGCGAGGTCAAGACTTCAGCTCTTCCTGGGCTCCCCTCCTGACCACCGGCCCGGCCAGTGCGCTGCCCCTAGCTGTTGGCAGGGATCCACTCCAGGCTGCTGCCCTGCTCCAGTCTGTGGAGTTCCTTTCCCTCGGCTGGTGGGGTTTCCTGCCCTCAGATGGCAGCAGCTTCACTCTTTGGGCCATAGGGTCTCCCTGTCCCCTGGCCAGCAGCAGCTCTGCACTCTCTGCCTGCACGGGCTACCTAACCCCAGCCACAGGGGCCTCCCTGCCCATGCCCAACAGTAGATCCATGCCCCCAGCTGGCAAGGGCTATGTGTCCCCAGCCAATGGCAGCTCCCTGTCCCTGGCCAATGGCAGCTCCGTGTCCCTGGCCAGCAGGGGCTCTGTTCTCGGCTGGCAGGACTCCCTGCCCAGCCCTGTAATGGATGCCGACTGCTCGCTGCATTTCCTGCCACTAGGACACTGACCCTCCAGGCTGCCTGCCTGACTTAGCTCCTAACCGCTGGCAACCTCTTCGGCTGGGGCTCTCTGGTCTGGCGACATCCATGGTCCTGCCGGACCAGAGAATCCCGGATAACAGAGGTTCGACCTGTATAATTTTAAATAAAACTGAAAGTTGCACTAAATGTTGCTGATTATACACAGGAACTGTGTGACTGTATTTATGTATTTTTATAGCGTGCCAACAGCTACAAATTAGAGTCGAACAAATTGGATCATCTAAATTTCTAGCTAAAATAGACATTTTGCTAAAACCCACACATAGGCTTACCCTGCAATGTTCTGTATTGAGACACTTTTTGAAAGTGTTGTGCTCTGCTGTGATCTCCTGTGATTGAGCACTGAGGTTATGGTGCTTTCATCAGGGGCAAGTATTGCAGACCGGGGGCGCTCCTTAGGTTGTGAGGCTGGAAAAAAAATGCCAGAGGTCTGTTAAGAAACAGCATCCAAACTCGTTGCTACAAATATTATGATAATTCAACCAAACATGGTTCTAACAACTAATTTTCTCTTTCTTTGGAGGTATGAACTGTCATAGCTCCATTGAAATCTAATCTCATTCTGCCTTTCCTGGCTTGTTAACACAAGGCACATTCCTGAAATCCCTGCTCAGGACAACGCTCCCATGCACTCTAGCAGTTCTGCCTGAGTAAGACTTCAGAAGTAGTCCCCAGATACATCTGGAGCCTACACTGAACATGAACACAATTTATATTTGTTTGACCTGTCTGGTCAGTTTCAAACTCTTAAGATACAATATGTACAAATAACTTCTGCAGCAATCCATGAAAAAATGAACAAGATAAATGATCAGTCGTTACCTTCCGTGAGACTGTTCCGTTGTTCACTTGTGTTCCCGTGCAGGGGAAGGGTGACCCCAGCACCAAATGGAACAATGGGCTTTCCTAATGAAGGAAAGACCTTTGACCCCTCATTGTACTACCTGCTGGAATTGAGGTTTTGGGGGGATACACAAGCCCCAAAACACTCATGTAAATTTTATTACAGAATGACCAAAACAGTCGCTTACAGCAACTGGTCTAGGTGCTTTTAACACCTCCTTCAAGCTCTTGTCAACCTCAATTTTCCCTGGCCCCTTTAGGACTAAGTTTCTGACTATCCATCAGATCAGACAATGCAGAGAGAAAGACCCTCCAGTTACGTAGAAGGGCTTGGTCATCTCCACATCATCGCTAGCCCCTGCATCTCTCCCTCTTTTTTCCTTCCCTTGGTCAGCCTTCTTGAAAACATGGCCTCTTTCTTCCACAGCTTCTATCTATATCAGTGTTTCCCAAATGGTGTTCCGGGGAACCCTGGGGTTCCGCAAAATAAAAATAGGGGTTCCGCAAGAAAATTCCATTACAATAACATTTTATAATTTAAAAAATAATAATATTTAAGCATTTATGAATTTTATTGCAAACAATTTTCATTTGTAAAAGCGACGAGGAGTCCTGTGGCACCTTATAGACTAACTGAAGTGTAGGAGCATAAGCTTTCGTGGGCAAAGACCCACTTCGTCAGACCTGCATCTGACGAAGTGGGTCTTTGCCCACGAAAGCTTATGCTCCTACACTTCAGTTAGTCTATAAGGTGCCACAGGACTCCTCGTCGCTTTTGCAGACTCAGACTAACACGGCTACCCTTCTGATAATTTTCATTTGTGTTGATCTCATGACCTTGTTTAGCATTCGTTTATTATTATCCTTATTTGTGGTCTACTTTTTCAGTTCCATATATAAGACTCTTATTAGAGGCGCCACAAAATTCTTTCAAGTTTAAAAGGGTTCCATGGCTAACTAAAATTGGGAAACACTGATCTATATAAAGTTTTACTGATAGTATAGCACTGTACCAACCATTTGCACAACATGAGCAAAGCCTCTAAAATCCCAAACATTGCTCATCACATGCAATAGAATCACTTTATTCCTGTTTTCTAGAATGTTTATCTTTCACCATATTGAAATGTCAAACAGTTGAACACAATGATTAAAGATTATACTGAATACAATGAAAAATAGTAACTATTTGGGAACTACAACAGAAAAGAGGGAAGGGAAAGCTTCTTACTCTTGCTTCTCATAATTACTGTGGGTAATGAAGAGGTATCGTGTGCCTGAAGCATTCCTTTTTGTTGCTGAAAGAAAAAAAATAGGTTTAATTTTTTTTCTACTCTGACATAAAGGGCCGTGTTCATCCACTTACATTGTCTGACTGCAATTACTCAGTAACAACATTTTGAGTTCTTTCAGAACAGCTTATATCCCAGATACAGTGCTGAGGGGAATTTATAAGCAGCATTATCTTCAGCATGATGATAGAGAGAGAGCCATGTGGAGAAATATTTGCACCAAGTAGTAAAATAGGGAGTGAACCATCATCCTGATATTGCTAGATAGCTAATGTACTAAAACCAGAAGGATCACTGAGGGAACAGTATCCATAATTGTAGTGATTCGTTGTTAAATGTAACAATGTGCTCGGCATGGTGAACACAGTCGTGGCCTCAAATAGCTTCTGATTTAAAGACCAATGTGAAAGACTCGAATAACAAGAGCATGATGGCTTAGTAAACCAGGATGGGAAGGGGGCTCCCCAGGTATGGAGCAACCATGAATTCCAAGCAGAGGTGCTTTTCTATATTAACATACAACACCTGCATTAAAAGAATATTATGGTTGCAAAGTCTAGACCTTAAAAGAAATGCCAAAATTAAGGTTACCCTTGTGCCCCTGATTTGCCTCCATGGCACAAACGCATTATGCTGTAGTCTAATTACATGATCAGGTGAGGTTTTTTCTATAGGATCCATGCCTCATTCAGTGCACAGGACGGACAGTGCTCTAAGATGGGAAAACTATTTAGTATTTCATGGCAACCTCAGCCCTAACTCCCTGCTCCCACCACATCCAGGCCCAGCTCCTCTCCCTGCTGTACTCTGATGGGCCTCTTTTCCCTGCTGCCAGGGGAGTACAGGGAGCACAGGAGAGAGTATCTTCATGCTCTTGCTTCCTGTGCCCATTGCTGCAGCAGCCCCTGGCACCAGGAGGAGCAATAGCAGGGGAAGTCCAGTGCAGTTTTGGGCTGCAGAATGCTCAGCTGCTTAGTGAGGATGTTACATACTCTGGTCTCACAGAGGTACACAGGTCAATGGGTGCTCCATTAATGAACCACTATTGAATATTTGGTTTATCCTCATGGTTCAGAGCATGGCTCCATGTTGCATTTGCTCCACACCGTTCAAACCCTTCTCTGTATACAGAATTAATCTCCTGACAGCCTCTTCAATGGTGCTCATTGCTGTAGCACCAGAGTGTTTCACAAATGTTAATTAGTTGACCTTTGCACACCCATGCGCTAATGTATTATTACTCCCAGCAGTGTGGTCGAGGGTAAATATGGGTAAACACCTCTGATTCGGGGAATATAGAGTGTTGGTTAGATTAGTTCACTCAATTCTATAATACTTTAAAGTGGGGATGAGGAATCTAAGGTCCAGAGTCCAGATATGGCCCCCGGCTTGTCTGGATCCAGCCCCCGAGACTCAAGGCTGGCTTTCCAGCCATCCCCATACAGCGATGGAGCACACAAAAGCTACTAGCCTTGGCCTCCCCTTGGCGCTGGTGTGCAAAGAGAATGTAGGGAGTGCCTTTTTCCTTCTCAGTCGGAAGCCACGTCAGTGAGGTTTTGTTTTTTTTTCCTTCTCAGTCGGAAGCCACGTCAGAGAGGTTTTGTTTTTTGGGCGTTACAAGGAGAAGGGAGACAAAAATTATTCACTTGAACCTCTGATGATAAGACAAGAGGCAAGGAGCTTAAATTGCAGGAAGGGAAGTATAGGTTGGATCCAGAGCACAGACCTATCATTGGACTCACATGGTAATGCATAGCAGTAGCATGTTGGCATTCTTTATATAGGCCAGTTACTAACTGAAGAGGAGCAACCTCCTTCCCCTCTCCGTGTTCAGCTACAAGCCCTAGTCTTTGCTTCCCCCTTCCTCCACCACTTGTCCCTATCCCTGTCTTCGCTTGGCTATAAACAGACAGAACTGCATTTTACAAAACTTAGAATAGGATTTTTCCTATTCACATCAGACTAGAGAAGCAGAATTAAGCTTCAATTTAGAGAAGTATCACAAATCTTAGGAAAGCTTAGGAAAATGATCCACCATAACATGGGATTCTGAAGTTCTGCACACCAGACTGGAAATTCCATTCCTGCACATATTGCAAAAGGTGTCTGCATGCTAAAATGCTTTAAAATAAACATCATGTCCAGCAGGCAACATGAAATCTCTCACCTTCATTTTGACTTTTGCACAGGATGCCAGACTCTCCTTACAGCCTTTGTGAACAATTGCATTGCAGTCTGTAAAGGGAAAAAACACATGAAAAGCCAGGTCAGAACTGCTCTTTGATTTCCTTTTACATTTCTTTGAGAGACCTTGGGGTAATTAGGGATTTTCACTTCCACTAATATACTAGAAGAGCAGGTCAAGATACTGCCAAATGTGATGCTTTCCATGATAACTCGACAGTGCAGGCAGTCCCCGGGTTACGTACAAGATAGGAACTGTAGGTTTGTTCTTAAGTTGAATTTGTATGCAAGTCGGAACTGGCATCCAGATTCAGCAGCTGCTGAAACTGACCAGCGGCTGACTCCAGGAAGCCTGGGGCAGAGCAGCTGGGGGGGTGGCGGGGTGGGCCCGTGGTGGCGAGGGGGGGC